TAGGTGTACGTGGCTGGCGCCTTAGCCGGTTGAGCTATAGGCGCCGAGCCACAAGTTGTAATCTTAAAGACTATATAATTCCTACTTCCTAACTCCAGTGAGAACAATCTAGGGTGACACTCTGAAAAGGCTGGTAAATATAAAGTCTAAGGAGTAGGGCAGTGCTGTTCTGGCAAAGGAGGTTATGGGATAAAAAGAAGATACTTACAATAGGCCTTCCGACCCAATCATAGGCATAGTCAAAGGTGTACCCTTTCCTTTCAAAGAGGTCTGTGAAGAGGGTCCGTAAATACTCATAGTCAGGTTTTTCAAAGAAGTCTAATCGTCTGACATATCGAAGGTATGTTGCCATTTCCTCTGTAGGAAAGAGGTGAAAGACAATGCTTATTAGGTGAATGCTTCTCAATGGGGTGGTCACAGAAGGGATATTTACATAGGTGTTTGAGTATTTTCTCTATGAATCAAATAAAAGTGATAAAATCTATTTTGGTCTCAGTAACAATAAAAGGAAATGTAAACTAGCTGAACAGCATCCCTTATCTAGAGATAGCAAGTCAAGGACTCCACCTACTTAAGACTCAGTCACACTGGCTGAAGTGTCCCTTTAGCATCCTACCTGGAAAGTTCTCACAGAGAGCTTCAATGGGAGTATTCCTTTTGGTGTCACCAATTTTTTGATATCTTTCTTTTAATGTATCAGCCTATAGAGAGTAAAGATAAAGTTATTTGGAAAGAGGTGCTAAGTATAGGAGGTTCAATATGTTTTCAGATACAGTCTTCACTAAAATTGGCAGGATTTGTTAGTTATATTCAATTTGCTTTCTAACACTAACAATTAAGAAATGTAGAGATGATATATTTAGATATGGACAAACATCTGTGTACTGTAAAGTTTTACTTGCAAAAATATTTAATAGTCTCAGATAAACACCATCAAATGAGATGAGTGGCTAGGATAAGAAAATAACAATATTATGCGGCAATATTTTCAAAATTGCAGAAGCTTAGTAATATCTCATGGTCATTAGGGTTTAACAATGATTTAGTTTCTTTCTCTTAGATCAGCTCTAAGATAGAAGTATTGCTAAGACAAGTGGAGGAAATAGATGGTCCCACCACATACATAGTGAGAAGATGAATGAGGTGCGGGTAGGGTATAGGAAATGAAAAATGCTTTTCAACAATATGGTTCTAGTGGCTGGCTACCAAGGCTCACACCTATAATCCTAGCACTCTGGAAGCCTGAAGGGGGTAGATTGCTTGAGGTTAGGAGTTTGAGACTAGCCTGAGAAAAAACAAGACCTGTCTCTACTAAAAATAGAAAAAATGAGCTGGGCATAGTGGCACATAACTGTAGTCCCAGTTACTTGGGAAGCTGAGGCAGAAGAATTGCCTGAGCCTAGGAATTAAAGTTTGCAGTGAGCTGTGATGATGCCACTGAATTCTAGCAGGGGCAGACTGCTAGAGTAAGACTGCAGGAGTAAGACTGCCTTACTCTACCCCACCCTAAAATAAACAAAAAAAATAAAACAACAAAAACCAAAAACAAGGAGGGGGTTGTATAAAAGAAAAAAATTATTTGTGGTATAGGCATGGCTAACAGATAGGTTTAGTGTATATGAGTGGCTCAGAGCAGCCTAAGTCTAGTGTGCGTAGGAGCATTGTAGTCAGAGGGCTTCTTGACAGTGGACCAAGAGTAGGATCTCTAGGGATTCTTGTCAGGCTTTACCTAACCTGCTGCACCAATTAAACAACAGTGTTCTGAAGTAAACTGGAGAAATTTTGCAACTGTGACTACTATTAAAACAATTCACAGACCATGACTAATGCATTGTTTGGGGAGATGATAACAAGTAGGATGTGAAAATCTGTTTGAAAGCTATTGACATTTAGGAGAAGATGTATAGCATTAGAAGACAACCAGGGTAGAGATGTCACAAGAGGAATTTAAGGGAAAAGAAATAAAATCTCAAGGAGGAATGGGTTGAAGCCTTACATTTTAGGACAATGTCCCAGAAAGCACAATAAAATAGATCATTCTGCTTTTCTGGAAATAGGGGGCATAGGAGCACCCCAAACTACAGATTAGGGTTAGAAGCTCACCATTTCCTAATCTAATAGCCAGAAGCAGAGTAATTATAATAATTAATAGTTAATTCTGACATGTAGGCATTGTACTGATGCCTACCTTAAAAAGGCTACTTAAAGTCTATACATTTGGCAGGGTGTGTTGGCTCATGCTTGTAATCCTAGTACTCTGAGAGGGTGAGGCAGGTGGACTGCTTGAGCTCATGAGTTTAAGAGCAGTCTAAAGAGCAAGACACTGTCTCTTAAAAAAAAAAAAAATAGCCGGGCGTTGTAGTGGGCACCTGTAATCCCAGCTACTTGGGAGGCTGGGGCAAGAAGATTGCTTGAGCCCAAGAGTTTGAGGTTTCTGTAAGCTATGATGCCATGGCACTCTACTCAAGGGTGACAAAGTGAGACTCTGTCTCCAAAAAAATAAGAAAATTAAAAATAAATAAATAAATAAAGTCTACACGTTTGGCAAGGAATGGCTGTTGTCTGAATAGGCATTTATCCAATAATACACATGAACAGCAATATTAAACCTAGATTTCCATTTTAGTTTAGGTGAGTCCTTAGCCTACACAAGAAAAGCAAATATTTTCCAGTTCTCCAGAGGGACATCCCCTGCTGGGCTTTCTGGAAAAACGTGTAGCAGCTGCAGTCATAAATTTGTTCTAAAAATTTTCTGACATACTGGGAACACTCCTTCTGCTACATAATGGTAGTGGAGGAGGAATACCAACACAGAGGAAAAAGCAACAGTGCCAAGGCTGGGAGGGAATGAGAGAAAAGAATACGGTAAACCCAAAATCAAGGATGAAAGAAAAGAAAGAAGACAAATGTAAACAAAACAGAACTTCCAAAGCCTAGTTAAGAATTTACAACATAGACTAATATAACTAGGCCCTGCTTCTCATTTCTGTCACCAATCTTCCCTTTTGTGCTTTTTAAGAGACAGAAAGCCAGCAGTTCCTTCATTAACAACTGAGCATTGAAACAAAGCTCTCTACTGAGCACTTTCAAGGATACCTTGAGTCCTTGCCAGGGTAGGCTGCCTCGAAGGAAATACATGAACATATGGCCTAGGGCTTCCAAATCATCTCTCCGGCTTTGCTCTAAAAGGAAGACAGATCACACATTATGTTTGCAGTTATTAAAACAGAAAAGAGTTCAAAACCAAGTAATCTCTTCAGAAACCCTTCTGTTCCAGAAAGGCTCTGTTGACTAATTCTTTCAGGGATAGTATTTTGGATCAAAACAAACAAAACAATCAACATGTACATTCTTTGCCTAGATCTGTTGCTGGTAAGCAATCATCAAATGAAAAGACCAAATCCTAAATTAAAACCAACCCCAGCTATGGCTCATGCCTATAATCCTAGCACTCTGGGAGGCCAACGTAGGTGGATCGCCTGAGTTCAGGAATTTGAGACCAGCCTGAACAAATGTGAGACTCTGTCTACCAGAAATAGAAAAACTAGCCAGGCATTGTGGTGGGCACCTGTAGTCCCAGCTATTCGGAAGGCTGAGTTAAGGGGATGGCATGAGTCCAAGAATTCAAGTTTGCTGTGAGCTATGATGCCACGGCGTTTTACCCAGGGCACAGAGTGAGACTGTCTCAAAACAAAACAAAAAAACACCAAGCCCAAATCACTGAACAGAGACTAATCACCCATAACTCAATGCTGTTACCCTCCTGACAGAAAATTTAAATAAAATGCCATTTCCAGTATATGGCCTACAATTACACATTGGTTACCACCAGAGAAAGTGAGCAATAGATTAAGCAACAAAAACTGTTACAACAGTCCATTCTAGCTAGGCCTGGAAAACAAAAGCTGCAGAAGGATTAGCATACATGCTTAGTGCTTTTGATTCATCATAAAAACGCTCACATGAAAATTTAGTTTCACACAAATGAGTATCAATGCATACTCTCTTGGCTCCTATTTCATTTGTACCAGGTCCTATAATTAATGCCTTTAAAAAGAAAATTTAAAATTTCTTACTAAGATGCCCTGGATGAGCACATAAAACAAAGTTCCAGCCAGGTATGGCAGTAGGCGCCTGTAGTCCCAGCTACTCAGGCAGCTGATGCAGGAGAGTTGCAGGATCAGGATGCAGGAGGATCCTAGGTACTCAAGACTACCCTTGGAAACAGACTGGGACCCCATCACAAAAGAAACAAAACAAAACAAAAACCCCAAAAGTCCCTGCATTCTGGGAGCTTATCCAAAACAAGTTGCTGGACTTTTCTTTCCTTTAATTGAGAATGAGATGATAAAGAATAGTTAATAAAAAACTCTAACTTTCTCAGAAAATATCCTAAACATTCTATGGTTCTCTGGTTGTCAGAATAAAGTACATGCCTTTATTTCTAATTTGCCAATTATGGTTCATCTTAGACATTTTATGTATTTATTTTTTAGAATCAAGTTTAGGGTTTTATCAAAATAAATTAGAGAAGCAAGACTGAAAGGCTACTTTCAACATGACTGTGCCTTGTACAAAAAGTAAAACTCAAGAGGGCAAAGAGGCAAGGAAAGCCACTCAGCTCAAAATAAAGAAGCACAACATGTTGGACTGGCACCTAAAATTCTGGGACATGTGCATGAAAAAGAATGAATAGTGCTCTATTGACTAGATGAAAGAGACGCTACTTTCTACATAGCTGTTTCAAGGAGGTCTATGGATAGGTGGTTACTAGGGAAGGAGAGGCTGCCCAACAGAAGGATGAATGACATGAAACTGAGTTGGTATATATCAACTGAAATAATCTTCAAAAGAATGAAATAAAGCCTGGGCATGGTAAGGTATGAAGATCACTTGAGGCCAGGAGTTCTCTACAAAAAAATGAGTCAGGCAGGGTGGTGTGCACCTACAGTCCCAGCTACTTGGGATGCTGAGGCAGAAGGATCGCTAAAGCCGAGGAGTTTAAAGCTGCAGTGAACTATGATGACATCACTGCATTCTAGTTTGGGAGAGAGAACAAGACCCTATCTCTCAACAAACAAACAAACAAACAAACAAAAGCAATACCATCAGAAACTTTTGTCTGAATGCCTTGCCTAAAGTGTACAATAAAATATTATAAATAGTTGACAACAGAAAGTTTGTTAATGAACCTAAATATGTACAAATAAAAATAGAAAAGAGCAAGTGGGGTGAGCTGATGCCTCCCATAAAGCAGGGCAGATAGAGAAACCACATTACAGTTTCTCAAACTGTATCACGTTTATTCACTGCCTCTCCATTTTCATATCAACTTCCTGTAACAAGAGGCCCCTTGGTAATTAAAATATTCACTAGACAAATGTTTGGATTCTAGTTTGTTGGGCACTAGAGGGCGAAATTCTCCACATTTTTAATATAGATTGGGCCTAAAGAAAAAATATTTATCTTTATAGCAAAGTCAATTATAAAATAAGATTAAAATAATTTTTAAACTCACTGGAATAAGTAATAAAGTAATCCTGAGAATGATGAAAAAAGCTATGAAATAGGAGATAATAGGAAAATGGATCCTAAATCAGGTCAATCATCTTGGTGTTGGCTTATCTTGTCCACTAATTCAACTCAGTGAAATTAAGCATTGACAAATCACCTGCTTCGGGCCTCAATTTCCTCATTTGAAAATAAAATAGTCAATTTAGCACATCTGAAAAGTCATTTGCTAGCTTTAAAATTCTAAAATAATCTGTGATAATTTATAACTTAAGCTATTAGGGCTTTTCAAGAAAAAAAATAATGAAAAAAATCAGAGCACATTTATTTCTGCAATTCTTTTAACATTCCACACTTGTTCAATTCATTATTTCCACATGGCCTCATTATTTTTCATGCAGGATATTGTTATTTTCAAAGATGAAAGGTTTCATTATTAGTGAGACGTCAGACACAAAAATTCTTCAACCAATTAGAAACATGAGTTTGGTTTATATGCATCACATCCCTGATTTTAGGTTAAATATAGAGTACTCTGTAGAAAGAAAGGGGAAAGAATATCCAGTGTTCTTGCCCTAATTTTAACCATTAAATAATATAAATTTGGCTGTTCCCGGCCATATCTTAATCAGTAGGGATGTGGCTATTATGGTCTGGATGTTTGTTCCCCCAAGCCTCATGTTGAAATTTGATCCCAATGTTAAAGGTGAGGCCTAACGGGAGGTCTTTGGGTTATGGGGGTGGATCCCTCATGAATACATTAGTGCCCACCATCTGGGGGAGTCAGTTCTCACTCTACTAGTTCTCTACATAGGGGTTGTTAAAAAAAGCCCGGCACCCCTCCAACCCCACCCCCATTCTTCTCTCACCATGAGATCTTTGCACAGCTGGGTTCCCACTTGCCTTCCACCATGAGTGGAAACAGCCTGCGACTCGCCTCACTGAAGCCAAGCAGATGCTAGTGCCCTGCTTTTTATACAACCATGAGCTAAATAAATCTTTCTTCTTTATAAATTACCCAGCCCTCAGGTATTCCTTTATAGCAACACAAAATGGACTAAGATATTGGCTAATCTACTGTGGTAACGTTGGGTTTAAGACTCTTCCTTTATTTTCCTCTCCCTTCTCAGTCCTCTTTTCTTCATTACACAACATAAAGGATGCAACACATTTTAAAATCAGTAACACTGGAGTTCCTATGAAAGTCTCTTTAGTTTGAGACACAGGACAGAGTTTAGAGAACAGTGACAATCATCTGTAAGTATTCTCTGTAATGGGAAGAGAACAAATATGGTGACAGGGCTCGGTGCCCATAGCTTAGTGGTTAGGGCGCTAGCCACATACACTGGGCAGGTGGGTTCGAACCGGGCCAGGGCTTGCTAAACAATGACAACTACAACAAAAAAGTAGCTGGGTGTTGTGGCGGGCACCTGTAGTCCCCATTACTTGGGAGGCTAAGGCAAGAGAGTAGCTTGAACCCAAGAGTTTGAGGTTGCCATGAGCTGTGATGCCACAGCACTCTACCAAGAGTGACATAGTAAAACTCTGTCTCAAAGAAAAAAGTTGTTTTTGATGTTAACAGTATATTTCAGTGAGTTGCATATCTTTTACATTTTTTCATTTTCTACTATGACGAATATTCAAAAGTTGCTTCAAATTAAATCTATAGCTAAATATAGTTAATTATACTAGCACTCTGGGAGGCCAAGGTGGGTGGATTGCTTGAGTTCAGGAGTTTGAGACCAGCCTGAGTAAGAGTGAGACTCTCTAGACCAAAAAAATAGAAAAATTAGCTGGTAGCCAGGAGCAGTAGCTCACACCTGTAATCCTAGCACTCTGGGAGGCTGAGGCAGGTGGACTGACTAAGCTCACAAGTCTGAGACCTGCCTGAGCTAGAGCGAGACCCTGTCTCTAAAAATAACTGGGTGTTGTGGTGGGTACCTGTAGTCCCAGTTACTTAGGAGGTTGTGCCAAGAGGATCACTTGAGACTAGGAGTTTGAGGTTGCTGTGAGCTATGACGCCATAGTACGCTACAGCCTGGGGCAACAGAGTGAGGCTGTTTAAAAAAAAAAAAAAATATACACACACACACACACACATATGTATACATACACATATTTAATTATAATTCTAGCCAGACCTCATGACCAGTCCCATATACAGCCATTTCACCTCATCTGTAGAACAGAATGCTATCATTAGCACCAGAAACTAAAGTGGTCAGCACTCTAAGTACCAAGCTGCTGAGGGCGAGGCAGTCTTTCCTTTCACTTTATATTCTTCTCAACTGCATTTCAATTTCCTAAAGGTTGCAGTCACCAAGAGTTCTTTTAGGTATTAAAATGGGAAGAAAAAGATGTAAGGAAGCCAATATCCATCCTTGAAGAAAAAGTAAATCCATTTCATGGTAAACCTCAGCTTCCACACAAATCCCCAATCAGAGTTCTCCAGTCTGAAAATAGTCTTCTGTGACCTCGGGAAGTGTGTTCAGATACTATTGGCCCAGGGCAGCCAAGAGCATGACAAATGACGGGTAAATGGGGGATAGTGGTTTGGGGAGATTCTGCATCCTGATAGTGGAGATGATCTGCCTTGTTGACTGCAAGATGGATCTGAGTTGGGAATTTTATGATAAATCTCTTCCATATACCTATATATCATGGTTTTCACAGATGGCATATTGGTGGTATCCATTATCAGGTCACTGCTTGACCTTTCTGAATCTTCGCCACCCCTTTGAACACCTGCTGATTATTGAAATAGGCAGCCAATGTAGCAATGGCCTTTACCTATGGAATAGCACAGAAGTTAAACACGTTCTGGTTTCTTGAAAGATAGGTGATGACATCTGGACTGTGTTGTAGGGCACTGGTGATCAGTTTAGACACTGCATAGCCAATATTCTCTGCTTTATCAAAATCCCTCGAACATACCTGCCCAAATCTCTTGAGGCCAAAACTCATTTCCTTCTTGTTGGTCTTCCAAATAATCCCTAATGTTGTTTGTTTTCTGCAAAAACAGGCCCATCAAGTTGGCACTATTTATATCATTACCAACTAAAGGGTCTTTGAACTCTGAGACTGGGAAGAGACGGGACAATTCCCACTGGCCCAACAACATAGTGATAGTACTTGCCTCCCTTCTTTTCAGAGGTCATGTGTTAATCCAAAACTGTCATCTCAATTCCCGTTTCCGGCAAATGTCAGCAATCACTTATATTTCTCAGCCAAGTTTCTAAACTTGAGGGAAATCGCTGGAAAATTCTCTAGCACTTCTCAAACCTTCTCTCTCTCTCTCTATCTCTCTTTTTAGACAAGAGTCTCACTCTGTTGCCCAGCCTAGACTGCTTGGTGTCCTCACGGCTCACTGCAACCTCCAAGTCCTGAGCTCAAGCTCCTCCTGCTTCAGCCTCCCTGGCTACTTCTTTTCTTATTTTTAGTAGAGATGGGGTTTCAATCTTGCTCAGATTGGTCTTGAATTCCTGAACTCAAGCAATCCACCTGCCTCAGGGTGCTAGGAATATAGGAGTGAGCCAATTCCTTCTCCATGTCCTCCATGAAATCATCAGTCTAATTTGTAAAGAGTGAAAGTTATATAACAGTATGATCTTTTCTTCCCCACACTGATGGTCATGTCATCTTCCAGAATCTCCACAGCATGGACAACCAGATACAATATGCATACTGCATTCCCCATTTCCCCATCTAGCACCTCCATAATAGCTGCAAAACTGAGACTGTTCCGATTTAGATACTTGTAGCAAGTTTTCAAGTTGCTGCTGAGCGAGTACATCCTGCTATGATTGCTCTCAATATGCTTCTTGCATGGGACAGGTGTTTAATAAATGTCTGCTGAATAGTCTACAGGGGTGACACTGGTCCATCTTGGGTATCACCATCCACCTGCCCCATCTGGAATCACCGTAAGTTGTAGAACTCCTGGGATGTCCCAAGTACTTCACAAACTACATTGGTGGCAGGCAGCAGCAAGTTTTCATTTATCTTTTTCCCAGGGGTATCCAACCTGTGGCCCATGGACTGATTTTGTGAGGACTTTTTTTTGCTTATCTGTGGTGTTGGATAGAACAAAAAGTATGTAGGGACCTTTTTTTTTTTTTGCTAATCAGCTTTTGTTAGTGTTTGTGTATTTAATGTGTAGCCCAAGACAACTCTTATTCTTCCAATGTGTGGGAAAGAAAAAAAGGTTGGCATCTGTGGCACTGTACCTTATACAAACACCAGGTACAGTATTCTTTTTTTTTTGAGACAGAGCTTCAAGCTGTCGCCCTGGGCAGAGTGCCGTGGCATCACAGTTCACAGCAACCTCCAACTCCTGGGCTCAAGCAAGTCTCCTGCCTCCGCCTCCCAAGTAGCTGGGACTATAGGCACCTGCCACAACGTCTGGCTATTTTTTGGTTGCAGCTGTCATTGTTATTTGGCGGGCCTGGGCTGGATTCGAACCCGCCAGCTCAGGTGTATGTGGCTGGCGTCTTAGCCGCTTGAGCCACAGGCGCCGAGCCTGGGTACAGTAGTCTTGTTTTCCTGACAAAAATAATAACATCAGTAGGAAAACTACTGAATCCAGGAAGCAGGCATTAGAACAGCAATTTCTAGTGTTTGTCAGTTAAACCAATTATGACTTTACCATTTAAGATATAGTATGATTCCAAGTGAAAGGGAAGATTTCATGTCAGTATGAAGAAAGAAGGGGGGCACTGTGCAAGAGACCCATGTTAGGTGTTGTACGTTTATATATATATAAACCATTCAACCCTCAACACCCTTGTGAAGTACTATCTTCATTGTACTTCTAAGTTTCAGTGAGATTAAATAACTTGTCCAAAGTGATACCTTTTGTCTAATTCCTCTTACAAGTAAGGTCTTTTTATCTTGATTAAAGCTTTTAGCAAAACTTGTACTGATTGTCCATCCCAAATAAAATGCTAGACTCATGGTAGAGCAAATATATTTTCACTGGATGAGACAGCAGCTCTTCCTTCAAGAATTATGCATGGTTTATACAAAGGGAACAGATTTAGTCCAGTTTTAGTGTTATATTCTTCACCCCCACCAATACCAGCCTGATGTTCTTTTTTAGGACTGTCATATATGGGTCATATTTAAGTAAATACCAAATTCATTACTAAACTCATTTAAATGCTATCACCTTTTTACAATAATTCAAGTACTCAAATTGCCCAGGAACTAAGCATTTGGAAACATGTAAAGAATTAAGAATCTGCAAATAATCAATGTGATACTTAGAAAAGTCATGAACTTACCACTCCAATATCACAAGTATGAAAATCACTTAGCGTTATGAAGCAATAAGAACAACAAGTTGTAATATACAGTGAGAATAAAAGTGTTACTGGAATAAAAGATTGTTCTAAGGACCTGTTCCCTTCAAGGAGCAGAAAATGAACACACCTTTGCCAAGATGCGTGTTGATAGACATATATCTTGCAGTTCCAGTTAAACTTTTGTGCTCCCTATAAGGTATGTGTTTTTTGGTTTCAGGATCAATATATTCCTTGGCCAGTCCAAAGTCTATAATGTGTATAACATGCTCTTTCTTATTGCCTTGTCGGCCAATCAGGAAGTTCTCTGGCTTGACATCTCGGTAAATGAGGTTCTTTGAGTGCACATATTCCATTCGAGAAAGCTGAAAGAGAAAAAAATAATGGAAGTCCTCTGAAGAAGTATAGTGGGAAAATATAGCAAAATCTTTTTTTATTAGCCCAAGGTTTTAATTACTGAAGTAACAATAAAACTCATCTCTTCTATCAGAGTCATTTCAGTGACTTGTAAACCAAAAAACATTTTTCATTACAACTACCCATCTAACAAATATCAAGATTAGGAAAAGGAGGATAATACAGATCAGCAAAATTAATTTTACTTCAGAAAGTGAGCATTTAGGAGAAAGGAAGTATTCCCAGGTAGAATAAAAGACTTGGTGGCTTTTGAAGCCGGTGCCACTAATACATTCACCTCCTATGTGTGTCTTCCTATCCTTAGTTGGACAGAATGCCCCAATCCAGCTCTCACTGTTATAGAAATAAGAAAAGTGAGGCCTAGAGAAGTTAATACTGGCCTAACATCATATACCTAGTTAGCACAGAGAAAGGAGTATAGTTTTATGTTAAAGTAAATATAACCCAAAATAATAATCATAAAATTACTTCAAATTTTATTAATTATTTCTAAAGCTTTTCTACTTATAGAAAGTAGAGAAATGAAAGCTCAGACATTTCCAAAATATTTCCAAATATTTACCAGACAGTGGCAGACTATCACCTTTTGAAACTAATAAAGATACATTTGCATCTTTCCAGAGGGCCTGACAAATTTCTCAAAGTAACTGTTGCAAATGTTCCTTAAACTAGTACTGATGTGTAATTTGGGAGAACCTGCAAGAGCCACCCACCTCTTCCACTGTACCAGTCTGTGAGAAATGGAGGCCAGAGAATTAAGGCAAATTCTTGGTCATACAATTTTTAAATCTGAGTGAAAGTGCTATGGGTTTTATCTCCAGTCCTTTCTTGGATGGAACAGTGAAAGAGGGATGACATGACCAAACTTTACAGCTATATGTTTAAAACCTATAAATAAAACATCAAAGAAATTATTTGCATTTATACAACTGTATCTATTCATCCTCCTTCTCCCTAAATTGTATGCTTCCACTTTAAAGGCAGAATACTGCTTGAAGGTGCAAAATCTTTTTTTTTTTTTTGAGACAGAGCCTCAAGCTATCCCCCTGGGTAGAGTGCCATGGCATCACGCTTCACAGCAACCTCCAACTCCTGGGCTCAAGTGAGTCTCCTGCCTCAGCCTCCCAAGTAGCTGGGACTACAGGCGCCCGCCACAATGCCTGGCCATTTTTTTTGGTTGCAGCCATCATTGTTGTTTGGTGGGCCTGGGCTGGGAATTCGAACCCGCCACCTTAAGTGTATGTGGCTGGTGCCTTAGCCGCTTGAGCCACAGGCGTCGAGCCAGCAAATTCTTAAAATAGAGCAAATTGCAGATGTAGCATGACTTCTCTGAATTAATTCCTTTTACCCCAATCAGCTACCAAGAAGGCCCATCAAGCCTGTGAGCACTAGTTTACTAGGTGTCACAACTGCAAATCACCAAAAAGCCCACAAGAATATGCCTAGAGGACCAGTCTACTCTCTCCCAGAATGGCAACTCCAACTTACCAACTGGATGGCTATCATTAACACCGTCTTCAAAGTAAATGTTCGGTCACAGAGGTCAAATAAGTCCTCCAAGCTAGGGCCAAGGAGCTCCAGAACCATGGCATTGTATTTCCCACATGGTCCAAAGTAATAGACCTGTGGAAGACCTTCACCTGAAATCAGAGGGGAAAATGGGGCACAGAATGGAAGACACAAAACTATGAGACAACGGCATTAGCACTGAGTAAGATTTTGTGAGATTTCTAATTTCTTTCTTTGTCCCTTTTGGAAACTTAAATTGAGCCCATCTTCACTGGGAACTAATAATAGGTGGGAAAGGCTAAGTCATTGCATAGTATGTCTGAATAAGCAGATATTTAATACTATAATGTCAAAGGCATTTCCACTGCTATAAGACAGAGAATGGTTCCTGATCCATCATCAGAGCAGAGTATAAACTATTCTTCCCCAGGGATAGTAGAAGTACTATATCATAAAAGGCTCAAAGGATGGCTGACTGAGGTCAAAGGCCAGGCTAACAGACCTTGTCTCATTAGTTGGTTTTATTAGCACTCCATATGCTTATTGACAAAACCTCAAGAGCGCTTTGCAACTACTACCCTATAAAAAACTTGGGTTGAAGGGACGAGGTCACAGACAGTACAAGCTGGCTATAGGCCAGCACAACTAACGTTCTTCTCCAACAGAGACTCTGTAGTTTTCTATTTTCTATCAGCTGAAGGAAAGCCAACAATTAGTTTTTTATTGCTTATAAGTAATTATGAAAAGGAGGAAAAAAATACAAGGCTGGATTTTCCCCTGATTTGAAATTCATAGCTATTAAGAAGCCAAAATGTAGACTTTCTCATCTAAGTGGTAAACTGTGAATGAATTTCCTCTATAAAGAGCATTGTAAATGTGATATATTCAGTAAATACGTAACTGCTACCATGAGAATACTGGGTACTAAGGAAACTACAAAACATTTTTGTAATTATAAACATTTCCACATTTATATAAATCATAGTCTACAGCTGTATATGTTGTGGATTACTGTGTTTCTGCCTTTAAGTTTTTCAGATAGCAAAATTGTCTCCATCTTCCTAGTCCGTTTTAATTTGTATGGGTGGGAGACAGGCAGAGGTGATGACATCCAATACATCTTTCTCTCCAGGGCAGATTTTGTATGTATGGAGTTAGTGCAATTCATTGCTATGATGTGTGTATGTTTGACTATTTCATGCACCACATGGACTATTTTACTACACATAAATATTAAACAACTTGAGTAATTTGCTTTAAATATGTTTATTCCTCACTTGTATCTTCTAATATATAGTATACATTGTTTCTGCTAGCTCAGTAAATAGCCACTGAATTGTTTTTGTGTTTTGATTTTTCCTATCTTCAAAAAGAAAAGGGATTTTTTTTTTTTTTTTTTTGAGACAGAGCTTCAAGTTGTCGCCCTGGGTAGGGTGCTATGGCATCACAGCTCACAGCAACCTCCAACTCCTGGGCTCAAGCGAGTCTCCTGCCTCTGCCTCCCAAGTAGCTGGGACTACAGGTACCCGCCAGGCTATTTTTTGGTTGTAGCTGTCGGTTTGTCGGCCCGGGCTGGATTCGAACCTGCCAGCTCAGGTATATGTGGCTGGCAACTTAGCCACTTGAGCCACAGGCACCGAGCCAAGCAAAGGGATCTAACATAAAGTGTCTTTTTTCCCTGATGCTTTGAAGAACTGTTTTTTTAGTTTAAAATAGCTGTTACCAATGAGTCCTGCAGAGAAATCCAAGGCAGAACACTCTATTCTAGAGATATGCTACTTTTATTAATCAGATACATGGTAAGTTAAGTTTGGGAATCTTTTAAATTTATGTCCAAGTAAGTTTTTGTTTTTTGAAGATCATTAATTAAATTATTTTGAAAAAACTCAAAGCCCAGTAGATATATTCTTTTTTTTTTTTAAATTTATTGTTAGGGATTCATTCCAAGTAAGTTTTTTATGTCTCTAAAATGAGATTTTCCTAATATAGAGTTTATATTCTATTTTTTTTTTTTTTTGAGACAGGGTCTTATTATATTGCCCTCGGTAGAGTGCTGTGGTGTCACAGCTCACAGCAACCTTAAACTCTTGGGTGTAAATGATTCTCTTGCCTTATCCTCCCAAGTAACTGGGACTTACAGGTGCCTGCCACAGTGCCCATCTATTTTTTTTTTTTTTGGTGGTTGTTGTCATTGTTGTTTAGCAGGCCTGGACTGAGTTCAAAACCACCAGCCCCAGTTTATGTAGCCGGTGCCCTAACCAGTGAATTATGGGCCCCAAGCCAGGAGCTTATATTCTTCAAAGCAGGTTATAGCAGAGTCTATCAATTACCTGTTCAATGTCCATTTTCCCCTTCTCTCTTTTTTTCATTTATTTATTTATTTTGTGGGACAGGGCCTCACTTTGTTGCCCAGGTTACACTGCTGGCATTGTTAGAGCTCACGGCAACCTCAAACAGGCGCAAGTGATCCTCTTGCTTCAACTTCCTGAGGGATTACAGGCACCCACCAGTATGCCTAGCTACCTTCATTTTTTGTAGAGATGAGGGGTCTCTCTATTGCCCACATTGGTCTCGAATTCCTGTCCTCAAGTAATCCTCCCATCCTCACCTCCCAAAGTGCTAGGACTATAGGTATAACCCATAGTACCTGGCTTCTCCCCTTCTTAATTATAGAACTTCTCATTGTTGAAAATAGTAACTTGCCTAGTTATAATTCCAGCCTCCCATAACAGCAGGAAGGTCCAGTGAGGTGGAAGCAGAAAACATTGGATTGGTGGTTCTAGAAAAGTTCTTTCAAGGGAGCTGACTAGAAGAGGAGGTACAACACTTTGAAGGACTAGAAGCCATCTAGAATCATCAGACACTTGAGGATATAAGATAGTGCCAAGACTGAATGGAACAAAAAGAGAAGAACCTGAGGCCCTGATGGCTGTGAAGTACCATGCCAATGTTGGTCTTCCCTTCTCTCTGGACTTTTTTTTGTAATACAAAAGAGAAATCAATCCCTACCTTGAGTGAGCTACTGTTATTTGAATTTTTCAACAGCCAAATCTAATCTTAATTAATAAATATACTATTCTTTTAAGTGTCTGAATGGGGTATCTGGGCATAATATCCTCTTACTGAAGTACAAGCTAAAAGCCAGGCCTAATTAGAAATATAACATTGGCATCATTTCCTAGACTTGCTGCCAATAATGGTCAGATTAAATAAGACAAATGATCTTGTTCTCCATGATCTTTAGTACCAAATCTAGATTATCTCTCTCCAGAAATTTCTGTGTTTACTAGTAAGTCACAAAACAATCTTTAGAGTAATTTCTGTAATTTCTAACTACAATGTCACTCGTAACTTCTACCTAGGAACTTCGAAGGATGAAGAGTTTCTGCTTGATGTGTTATTGTTTTTACTAAGTATCCTGAGACATCGCAATACCCCAGCAGGCTCTGCAATGCTCAGGACAACTTCTAGACCACTAAGTAGCTTTGCATTTCTGGGAAAGGAGCTAGGTCCAAGATACTAGTGTAAAAAGAGCTCAAGTCTGAATCCCGGATCTAGTATTTGCTTCTGTTACCGACTCTGTCAAATTCCTTAGCCTCTATGAGTTAGTTTATGAATCTGTAAAAAGGAAGAGCTTAGATTGGTTCCTTTTAAATCTAAATTCTTTTTTTTGTTTGTTTGTTTTTTTTTTTT